CATGGGGATAATACCTCAGGTGGTATTCAGCTGGCAGAACAGTTAATTCCAATGTTAAAGGAATGGGAAATAAATTCCCTTTCCCCAGCACCCTGAAACCCATATCTGGATGGCAAGGAAGCCCTCTGCAGCTAGGATTTTCACCTCTATTAATATTTGCAGAAGAAGGGAAGGGTGAGCCACTTCAGAGCATTCTTACCTAAAAACCCATGGAAAGGGTTGTGATAACTGAAATTGATGCCATGTTTTTGTTTTTTAAATAACACCACCTTACAGAGTTCTTGTAAAAATAAAACAGAGCTGGCAATAATCTTGTACACTATCCTAAGCTATTTGAAAGAAGGGTGAGATGTAAATTAAACATAGTAAGAACATGGGAAGAATTTAATTGGAAGGAGGACTTGCTTAATAAAGCCCTTCATTCATTTTGTATTGTTTCACGTTTTTCATAATCTGCTTAAACCGTTTTATCAGCAGAACAAAATTAGCATGTATGGGCTTCATTTTTTAATCTAATGCCTTGATTTTCCATGCCACCAATTAATAACACGACTTGCTCAATTGGTATTTTCACTACAAACATTCAAACTACATTTTAGTCTTCTCATAAGTTTCTAATGATGTCATACTATCCCCCATAGACTCTCAGATGTTAATATTTTTGTGATCCTAATTACATACTATCAGGACCATTTCTATGATAAACAACTTCCCCACCCTGTTCTAGCTTATATTTTGTATCTCTCTGTGACAGAAATTTTAGTCTGCATCTTAATTAATATGCATCTTCCTTATTATGAGAAACAGGATTTTTTTTAAAAAAGGGAACATTACTAGCAGTTTTTATTCAGAGTAATGTGGTTGTTCATATAGTAGCTAATAACCACATTCTTGATGACAGAGAGGGAGATGTTTCAGTAAAATCTAGAATGATGTGTGGGATGAAAATACTATTTACGTGTTCAGAGTTTTCCTTGACATTAGAAGTATCATTTTTTTGAAATTTACATCAGATGATGCAAATAATACACCTTGGTACAGGAGGCAAAAATATTATATGAATTTTGTCTGTCACTGTGTTGTTCTGTTAACTTATTTAATTTGTTTTACTCATTCACTTTTAATTTGGTTTTGTTTTCAGATTTCTGGGATGTGCTACAGCAACAGTGTGTTAAAAGTGTATCATGTACTTTGTGTACCCAGTAGTATAGCAAAAATATTTGCTTGGACTCTTGAACCAATTTTTTCATCTACGGAGCCATCCAGTGAGATCAGAGTTGGAATGGGAGCAACCGTAGACATACAGAGGCAACAAAGAATGGAGCTACTGGATCGGCAGATCCTAATGTCACAGTTTGCTCAAATGAGGAGGCAAAGGCAGCAACAGGTATTACTTATTTGTGATACAGAAATAGGACATTTTAATTAACTTAATATGTATTTTCTATCATAAGTATAATTTGGGATAGACCTACAGATACAACCGGCCCTTTGATGGGGACCAAACTGCTGATGCGGCCCCCGATGAATTTGAGTTTGACACCCCTGTGCTATATTGTACAGTGATGCCTCGCAAGACGAATGCCTCACGCAATGAAAAACTCGCAAGATGAAAGTGTTTTGCGATTTTTTGGTGACTCTCAAGAAAAATTTTTCTATGGCCGTGCTTCGCAAAACAAATAGGAACACATTAATTAAATTTCAATGCATTCCTATGGGAAACTGTGCTTCACAAGATGAAATTTTCGCAATACAAAATGACTCACGGAATGAATTATTTTCGTCTTGCGAGGCATCACTGTATTTATCATAACAAATTATGTGTCTGGGGAATAACAGCTTGGATTTCTTAATAATCACCTCTGATTACTTTCAATTTCCTGTCCAATGAAATGCTTCTTTATTCTTTTTTTCCTGATAGTTATAGATTCTTCTGTGTGTCCACATTTCAAAAGCATTTATTCTACTGAGCATCTCCTTGATAGTCCAAACCTCACATATAGGAGGATTGACCATATGTGACACTTTTAACATCCTTGGTCTCAAAAACATGTTAAACTGTTCATTACACAGTCTAGCTACATCAGTGGTGCTTTTTGCCTTCTCTTAAGACTCTCCAGAAATTTACTGTGGAGTCAGGAAAAGATGGAGATATTACAAGATATTTCCAGACACTGGGACAGTGTCTCATTTTGCCAGCATAGTAATGTGTCATATACAGTAGCTTTCTCACCAAGGAGAAGATTGGGTGGGACAAGCCATTTGCAGAAATAAATATTTCCAGTAGTGGCCAGAAACATGTATCTTATGTGTATTTCGAGCTTAGTGTTCTTGTGTGTGTGTGTTGTATAGATAAAGCTACATCTTTGTCTGTCTGTCTCTATATACATATGAGAGCTGAGCTGAAAATGTCTCTTTAGCCAAAAATCTGAGAGAGGAAGTTGTGAAGAGTGAGAAGGATGAAATCAGGGGAGTAATTTCCGGGAAGGGGGAAGTTTATAAGCATTTAAATGGAGTGTTATGGCACAACGCAGTAGTGGGATCGGAGGTCATCTCAGTGGCTGACTCCATTTCTTTGTTTTCCTTCATTATGTGACATAATGTAGCACCATTTCAAGAAACTTATGCTGGGAGGAAACAGCTTTTCCCTTCATTCAAAGGCATCACCACTGAAAAGGTTTCCACTAATAGTAAATCTAAGAGACAGTTGTGAATGAGATTATTAGATAAAAATAGCTAGTTAATAAGATATGCAAATATAGTACAGACAAGAACAAAAGCAGTTTGTGTTGATTAGATGTAAACCACATGCACTGCAGTTACTATGCATGGTGAGCCTGTCGCATATTCATACATTATACAAGTGGCATTATAGAGTAGACTTCTCTTTTGGAGAGGTTCCCTGTTTCAGAATGTTTAGGAAACCATTCACTGAGAATTCTCTCACACAAGTAGTAATCTGTAGTCTTTTATTTTACCGAGATGGCATGCTGTTAAGAGTCTCTCAGAAGAAGCAGGCACAGATGATAGGTGGGGAGATATGATATTAGTCAAGATGTTTTGGTTGATCCTGGCACCTTGCGAAGCTCAACTCTACCGCCAGCCCAAACTTTGAGACAAATACATGCCTCTGATAACTCAGTTAAGCTTAACCTCAGAGAAGCTAATACAGTGGAAACATATGTATGACATTTTGGTAGGAGAGTTTTTTCTGCAGTCCTAGTTTCAGGGTGATGAACCAATATTTGTGCTTTGCCTTAGACTACATTTACCAGACATCATCCTTCTTTATTTGCTCCATTGTTCTCCTTACTGCTGACTGTCTTTATCAATGTAAATATTTGTACTGTATTAAGAACCAAGATATGAGTGGAAGAAACTGAGGATAGTTGCAGCTGCACACAAACTCTAAACACTTGAAGACATGTTCGTGAAACATGGACAAGGTGTTTAAATTGATTCATTTCCTCCATCATATAAATACTGCTTGTTCTTTATTTTCTCTGTGATTCATACACATTGGTTTTATGCTTGCACAAAGCCCCATTTGGAGCTGTCTAGCTGTGAGTAGCCCTTTTAGTGATAACCCACCTCTTTTTGCATGTTTGACCACATACACCCTAACAGCTTTACCTCTGTTTGTTTTCATCTGACATACTAGCAGCATCACTAGGAATATTTGCATACTTCTCCTTCTCTTGATTTGAGTGTTTCACTATTTGTTTGAGTAGCTAGGGAAGGGAAAGTAATCATACCATATTT